GGACTGCAGTCTTCAAGTCATTCCACAGATTTTCAGTGGGGTTTAAGTCTGGGCTCTGATTAGGCCATGCAAGGACATTCACCTTTTTCTCCTTCAACCACTGTGTGCTTTGGCTCATTGTCATGTTGGAAGCTAAAACTTCTTCCCATTGACAACTTTCTGGCAGAGGGCAGCAGATTTTCCACAAGAATTTGAGGGTATTTTGCCCCATCCATTTTTCCTTCTATCCTGACAAGTGCTCCAGTTCCTGCTTCAGAGAAACACCCCCATAACAGGATATTACCAGCTCCATGCTTTACTGGAGGAATGGTATTATTTGGATGGTATTGGATTTCTGCCAGACATATCGTTTGGTGTTGAGACCAAATAATTAAATTTTAGTCTTATCTGCCTCAGAATCTTCAAGGTGCGTTTTGGCAAAGCTCCGTCGTGACTGCATGTGACCTTTCTTGAGGAGTGGCTTTTTTCTTGCAACTCTCCCATACAAGCCACATTTGTGGAGAATTTGTGATATTGTTGTCACATGCACACAATGACCACTCTTTGTCATAAATTCCTGCAACTGCTTCAGTTCACCCCAAAATTAAAATTAAAATTCTGTCATCATTTACTCTTCATTTACCCTCAAGTTCTTCTGTTGAATACAAAAGATTTATTTTGAAGAATGTTGGTAGCCAAACAGTTGACATTAGCCTCCGACTTCCATAGTATGGAAAAAATACTATGGAAGTCAATGGCTACCATCAACTTATTTTTTTATTAGGCAGTCACTCACTGTATGGACAAGCCACTTCGGGACCAAATGTTGGTTTATGAGAGATGTGTTTGAGCAATTTTTCATACAATAATTTGAGTAACAGGGTTGAACAGTTTAGATTGGTGAATGCAACCAATTTTGTGTCAACACTGAGATGGAGGAAAGAGATTATTTGTCTTGTATGCTGTACAAAGGGTGCAAATTATGTTATTTATTTGAGTGTCAAACTTAAAGAATGTTACATTTTTGTAATTGGGAAATCATTCAGCAACATGTTAAAATTATGACATTGTATGATTTGAGGATAATTTTTTAGATACAATCATGAATATCAAAACCACCATTCTAATAAAAAAAAGACAAAAATGTATGCAGCAAAATTTGTCACATGAATACGAACATAAATGCTGTCAAGGCAACTCAGCAGTCTCTGAGACTCAGCCATACATTTCGATTAAAGGAATGATTCATCCAAAAATGGTAAATTTGCTTAAATTTACTCAATCTCACACCATCCAAGATGTAGATGAGTTTGTTTCTTCATCTGAACATATTTGGAGAAATTTGTTTTTCGGAAGGCGGACCTTCATCAAAGCCGGAACTAATCGAGCCGTTTGTGCCAGGATGGGGAGAAAGGTATTTTAATAATGTAAATTATGTGAAAAATAATGCGTTTTTCGAACCACCAAGCATGAGAGCATGTTCTAGTACACCCCCAAAACAAAATCAAGACTTTGTAAAAGAGCATAATAGGACCCCTTTAATATTCTTTATTACATCTGATTATTTTAATATTCTAATGTTCCTAATTGACCTTGATATTGACTTTTGATATACTAATGTTGACACATTGTTAACACTTTCTACACGGTATTTTATTTTTATTTTTTTGCATTTATTTCATATAAGACTGAAATTGGACTACATACAACTTTCATTTATTAAATTATTTCATCTCTGGGTTTTATTTGTCAGAATCTTGTATAACAAAACATTCAGTTACGGAAATAAAATAATACTTTCAATGTTAAACATAGCAAACTTAAGGAGAAATATTATGCAATATTTAATCAATTTGTGAAAATTTAATTTTAAGACATTTGTGAACATTACAGTAAAATTTGTTTGTAACATAACCATAGACCAACAAACAGAGGTTTATTGTTTTTTGAAAATGCTCCTTGGACCCTTTTAAGGTAACTAGTGCTAAAACCGCTTAGTTCTCTCTCTTTTTTTATAAAATCTTTCCCTTTTACACAACTACTTCATCAGGAGTAGTTTTAATACAGTGCCTTTTAAAACAATAATAAATATCTGTTATAACATAATGTGCCTATTACCAATTTAAAACGAGGAAATTAAGGTATTACATTCAAGGCATGAGGTTGCATGAGCATGCTAGTAATTGCAGTATTAAACTGTAGAAAAATTCAAAGGTATTTCTGTTATCTTGGTCACTTTTGATAAACTTATAAGAGCTGCTTCTTTGCCATATATTCAAATAACTGCACTATACTTTTCCCTACCTTCACCTGGGACTCTTGTAAAAGCTTTCTTGAAAAGCTTTCAAACTAACTTTTCTTATAGGCATTCAGCTTCTTTTTGATGTAATGTCCAACCAAGACCTGAGGTCGCTGCTGGTAGCTATTCAGGATGTCATGAGAGCTGGTCAGCTGGTCTCCTTTCAGTCTGTCCAACAGCGTTACACACACAACCGCAGCTGAAGAAACAGGAAAAAAAAATTCAATATTATCACATTACCTTAACCCATCCATAATAAACAACATCAGCAGGTTTAATGTGTGACAAGAGGTAAAAATCAGTCTGCTAAAACAGACAAACTGCAATAAAAGATCATAAACCTCTAGCACCCATTTCCCATGCATAAAGGCTTTTTTTGTATTAACCTAAACAAGCAATGAAATATCACAAACTTGCGCTCAGTAAATGGTGTATTAAAAATGACATACCTCGAAGATTGCTCAGTTTGCACATGGCCGCAAACACAGATGACTCCATCTCAATGTTACGAACCCCAGCGGCATAGGCTTCAACAAGATAGCTCTGTTTATCTTCTTCACTGTACGAGCAGAAGGCCCCATCCAGCCGAGCTTGACCTGTACCAAGACAGAGCATTCATTCAAATGCAACAAACCCAACTGTGCAAAAAATTGACACTGCAATTGACAATTCACAATTGACACTGATTCTATAAAGTCTTAAAATATTTATACCTTCATAGAAGTCAAGGGTGCACATTGTGTTACCAATGACAGTCTCAAACTCTGCAAGGTCTTTGCCGCACTGAAGAAGCTCCTCTGCAAGTTCCGCATCGAGTTCTGTGCTCCTGACCACTGGTTTTCCCAGGATGATCTGCTCAAGGCGAGGCTGGAACACAGAATCCACTGACTGTTTGGTAACCACCACAATACCTGGCTTTAAACCTAACAAAAGACAGAAAAAAACAGCTCAGTCAGGAAACAATGAGTCAGGAAATTAGTAAAAAAAAAATCCCATGGTTTTACAACATCAGGGTGAGGTTGGAGTTGATTTTGAAAGCATGAAAACACCCTTTTGATTAAGCAGTTCAATGGTAAAAGCAGTGTACCTATTCCGCCTGACGTTCCGATGCGCACTACAGTGACATCAGTGCAGTGGGCATGATACAGGAGCTTGATAAGCTCATGCAACATTATAGAGATAGATGGGATGCCCATGCCATGCTAGAACACAGAAAAAATTTTATGTTAACATCCAGACAAACTTAATTTGCAATTATGCACTTGAAGGTACAGACAAAGGCACTATAATTAAAGGTGTTTGATGGCCACTGATACACAAAAACACTACAGTACCATTCAAAAGTTTGAGGTCAGTAAGAGTGGTTTTGAAAGAAAGCAAGGCTGCATTTATTTGATCAAAATACAGTAAAAACAGTAATATTGTAACTTATTATTACAATTTAAAATAACTTTTCCATTTGAATATACAGTGGGTACGGAAAGTATTCAGACCCCCTTCAATTTTTCACTCTTTGTTATATTGCAGCCATTTGCTAAAATCATTTAAGTTATGGCTGCAATATAACAAAGAGTGAAAAATTTAAGGGGGTCTGAATACTTTCCGTACCCACTGTATTTTAAAATCGAATTAATTCCTGTGATTGCAAAGCTGAAGTCATTACTCCAGTCTTACTAGCTATGTTTAAATGCACCAAAATACGGTTTATAATCGACTGATGGCTCAATCGGACTAAAAAAAGTTTCATGTGAACAATCAGTCTGACTGAGCTTGATCCAAGTAAAAATGGGGTGGTGTTGACCTGACATAATCTGAACCACAGGGGAAAAAAATTAAGAATGTAAACGCGTCTAATTGGATTCAAAAATACCTACAGATTACACAGATCATGGTGAGTGGGGGCACTGCATATATATGCTGACGTTTTTTTTTTTGTAATACATGTAACGCACATGTAAACAAATATGAGAAGAATATTGCAATGTTTAGGATTCATATAAACAGAACCTTCAGAATCTGAAATTGAGGAAAATTAGTGCACGTAAACATATTCTAATATGCATATTTGTACTCTATAAACATTCTTTGTTATTATCACAGTTGTGCTGCTTAATATTTTTGTGGAAACCGCACTAGATTTGATCAGGATTCTTTGATGAATAAAAAAGTTCAAATGAACAGCATTTATTTGAATTAAGAAATCTTTTGTAACATTGTAAATGCCTTTACTGACCCTAGTCTTTTGAATGGAATTGTTCATGTGGATGAGTTTGAGTTCACTCACACTGACTGACAGCACAGGTCCAACTTTGTACATGGCATAGCGATCGGTTCCTTCACATATATTTGGGAATTCAGCATTCGGCTCTGATAGCCCCAGTTCTTTGGCAATGTATTCAGTGAAAGACTTCATCCTCCATGGACTTCCTCCTACACACACAAACTGAGACAAAACGTACAACCAAGTGAGTTAGACAGACCTGGATAATTCTAAACGAGTAAGATTTTAGTATGGAAACAAATTGAAGTTTACTTTGACATCTCCAAACATCGCTGGCAAGTCGTGAGTGGATGTTCCCAAGTTAAAATGGTAAAGGATGTCATCTTTCATGGAGTCTAAATGGGGATTGTTCACATATATGGACCTATGCAGGGAAAATATAAGTTTGGCAGTTATATGAAACAGGACAGCTGTTGGTTATTGTCCCCACTGTTAGGAGAACTGTTTAAAGTAACACTTTAACCACACGATATAACGTAATAACTGTCAGGACTATGTAACACAGGGGTCGTGAGAAGGGCGCTCAGACGAACATATGATTTCCGTTTTGTATCGCTTCTCATGGAACTAAATGAAACTTTTTCTTGTGGAACAACATTTGTGTCCAGCGAATGAATCTGTCATTTATACAATGCGATATATAGTGTTTGATGAACAAAAATGAAACCCTTAGGCTACATAAATTACTGAATGACATATGAAACGGAAGGGCTGATAGTCCATGCACATAACAAAAGAATAAGGAAAAAATGAAGACACGATTGTTTCATTCGTACCTATCGCACGCACCGTTCTTCTCTTCACCCAGCGGCATTTTCAGTTTTTTCCTGAGATGGACACATCAACAGACCATCACTTTTCAACGTAAAAAAAAATCATCTTGTTTAACAACTCAACCTGTGCATAATAAACAACTTTGCCTAACAATAAAATCGACTAAACAGTATTAATTAAAGAATAGTTTAACAAAGTTCAATGTTCTTTACCGTGAGATGGACGTTTATAAGCCTCCTGATGCAGTGTCCGCCGGCAAGGTCACTTGACAAAATACCATGGGTTTCGGTCAGTTTCTGCTGCTGTAAAACATCCGGCTGTGCCGCTGGTGTACGTGACAGCAGCCTGTGTTTTTCCGCAAGCCCCGCCTCCTGCGGCAGAATGGACTAGTAGGAGCAACGGATTGGACAGCTGAGAAGTCCTTCATAGAAAGGATCAGTACAGGCTGGATACTGGTGCGCGAGCACCACTGACGTTACTTTTACTACCTTTTGACATTGAGAGGACTATCACAATTTGCTAAATTTACCTGAAATTACATCACATAAACTATAGATATATTCCACCAACTTTTGATAATTTGTGTTATTTTTTCATTATGAACTCTTTTTTGTTTGATGCATCTCATGCAATTGTTTCAGAAATGAAAACAATATAAAACAAAGGCAATCTGAGTAAACCCAAAATATTTTATTTTTTTTTAAATGATAATGTTAATGAAGCAAAAAAGTCAACTGATACTGATACCAACTGGTCCTGTGTGAAAATGTATTTGCCCATGTAGTTATTAATTCCCAAATCTGCATGCATAAACTGCATGCATAATGCGGTACAGCTGGACTAGACACAACCAGGCCTGATACTGCCAGCCCTGTTCAATTAAATCAACACTCAAATACAACTTTTTCAACAACATTAAGTTGATTAAAATGTCTTACCCAGTAACACACTATGCCAAAGGTGAAAGAAATACCGAAAATGCTGAGGAAGAAGGTGATTGAAATACATCTGTCTGGAAGGGTTACAAAGCTTGAACTCTTAAGAGCCACAGTGAGAGCCTTTATCTCCAAATTGAAAAACTTGGCACAGTAGCGAACCGTCCCAGAAGTGGCCGACCTTCCAAAATTCCTCCAAGACCACAGCAATGACTCATACAGGAAGTCACAAAAGACTAAAGGAACTGCAGGCCTCTCTTGCATGGATGAAGGTTACTGTTCATGAATTTATTCTCAGAAAGACACTGGCCAAAAAATGGTATCCATGGAAGAGAGGTGAGGCAAAACCACTGCTAACCCAGAAGAACATTAAGGCTCATTTGAATTTTGTAAAAAAAAATTCTGAATTTTCCACAAAAGTAACATTATAGCTATGGTGTGGGGATGCTACAGGGCCTGGGACACTTGCAATAATTGAGAGAAACAGGTCTTCAGTCTGTAAGTTGAAGCTCAAGCCCAACAGGATTACGCTGCAAGACAATGATCCAAAGCATAGGAGCAAGTCCATCTCCGAATATCTTAAAAAAAATTTAAAAAAAAACCTAAATGAAAGTATTGGAGTGGCCAAGTCAAAGTCCTTACTTGAACTAAATTTCAGAGGCAGGATCTTAAACTGGCAGCTCATGATCAAACCCCCCCAGCAGTTCTGCAAAGATTAGTGGACCACCACACAACAGCACTGTGAAAGACTGATCTCCAGTTATTGGAAGTGTTTGGTTGCTGCTAAAGGTGGCACAAGCAGATTTTAAATTAAGGGGGCGATTTGTTTTTCACATGGATAGGTGTTGGGTAACTTTTTTTTTTTTTGCTTCAATAAAAATAAAGTAAAATAAAAACTGTATGTGTTTATCACACATGTACACATGTAAGAAAATAAAATAATTAAGCAGCAAAGCAGCAAGTAAAAGAAATGTTTCTTTACTGGGTGTATTCAGTGGAATAAATCCAATTTCAAGTTGAGACAATAAGTTGACAAATTACAGTGTGATACAAAAAGCAAATATTGCCTCTGCCCAGATGTGCAAATCAGGGGAAATAAAAAAAGATATCCTTGCATAAGATCCAGAGCGGTCGATTATTTTAACTTTTTTTTTTCTAGTAACCTTTAATAAAATAATATTATAATACTGAAAAAGCTACAGTACTGTAACAAACACTTATTCTGTGCTCCAATCCACTTCACAGCAATTAATTACATTTCAGACATATGCATACATGTGCAAAGAAAGAGATCTATTTTCAAGTGCAATGTTTGCAAAAAGTGAAAATAGCCTACTGTACCTTAAAAAAAAAATCCAAATGCTCAATAATTGTCAAATGAATTCTCTCTATATTGTCCAGTGTTAACACAGTTAAGCAAAATGAAAACATTCCCAATCTGATTCTATTAAAGGGATTGTTCACCCAAAAATGAAAATGTGATGTTTATCTGCTTACCCCCAGGGCATCCAAGATTTAGGTGACTTTGTTTCTTCAGTAGAACACAAATGAAGATTTTTAACACAAACCGTTGCAGTCTGTCAGTCTTATAATGGAGGTGAATGGGAATCACGGCAAAAACATACAATAAAACTTAAAAAAAAAAACATACACAAACAAAACCAAATTAAACTCTGTGTCTCATGACGATACATTGATGTGTAAAGACACAAAACGATCGGTCTGTGCAAGAAACTGAACAGTATTTATATCGTAGACTTATAAGTGCATTAACGCCACCCATCTCATTTGGCCGCAGGGTTTAATTTGGTTTTGTTTGTGTATGTTTTTTTTTGTTTTATTGTTTGTTTTAGCCATTCACCTCCATTATAAGACTGACAGACTGCAACGGTTTGTGTTCTACTGAAGAAACAAAGTCACCTACATCTTGGATGCCCTGGGGGTAAGCAGATAAACATCAAATTTTCATTTTTGGGTGAACTATCCCTTTAAGTGTAACTCAGGCATATGAACTTGCTAGAAGTCAGTCTGTTATTTAAGGTGCACTTCAATCTTAAACACTTCAAAGTTCAAATATCCACAAAAATGTAATTTTAACACCACAGACCATGAATCCAGAACAACTGTTTTAGTGCAGTGTAGTAACACAACTTACATTAGGCAAGGATCAAAAGCCTGAGTTTGACATCACAAATGTCTGATAAGGTAAAACTAAAGTGTATGGTCAAGAAAGGACAATGAGTTTACCATGACAAAACAGGATATGGAATCTTTTGCAAGGACCAAGGCATCAGTGCTGTTAGTATAATTTAACTTTTTGTACTGTGGACTGGTTAGGAACAAGCATTGAACACCTATGTTGGAAATGTTTAAGTTTTTAGATTTTTGTTTGGTGTATTAATGTTTGTCTTTACAAACCTTCAGTTTTCATTGTAAAGCTTAAGACAAATATTTTACCCTTTATAACCTTGAAAGTTACCAATTTAACTTGTGACCCTTTCCACTTGGTCCCCATGCAGTGCAGTTTTAGGGCAATTAAAAAAAAAAAAAGACAAAGAAATTCCCCACATTAGGCAGCCCTATGAAAAGAAATATAAATGGACAACTGTTAAATCATATGCAAAACTATTAAAATGCAACACATAAAATAATAATGTCAACTCAAGCTCTTGCACTGGTTGTGATATTAGTTTTATGAATGCACTTACAAGTCCTCATTGTTGTTGTAGTTGGTGATGAAGTATCTGGGCACATCATTGGTTCTCTAGATTGGGTAAAAAATGATAACTAGAAACGTTGTGCAATACGTGTTTATTATCTTACACCTACAGAAACCATATTTTGCCAAACAAGTGCTTCACAAAATCTGAAGGAAAAAAATCCATTCAACTCACTCCATTCTCTAAAACGATTGGATGTTCTGGTAAAAACTCAGGTTTCATCTTAGCCATTGGACAACTTGCCAACTTGATGAGGAAGTCCCGAGTGTAGCAAATTCTTTCGGCTACAGTTTAAACAACAACAACAACAAAAAGTATTATAAGATCTACTTTAACACTGTATTATCAACGCATTGTTTTTCTTCTAATTACAGGTATAATCATCTCCCTGATTCGTTTAGGGAATTTATACTGAAGCAGACACTTGCCTTTCTTCTTTGGTTGGGTGCTGGTGCTTTGAAGATGCAGGATTTCATAGAAATGCTCCACTTTAATAATGTTGTCCTGTCCACAGTAAAAACAGTTACCGGACAAAAAAAGACATTCTCTCAGAGGAAAAAGATAAGCAAAAAAGAGGCCAGCAGCTGCAATTAAATTCCAAAGCGTGAAAATATTAAAATTGGTCTTACTGGCTTTTCTACCGGCTTAATCTCAGCATAGCTTTGAGGCACTATAATTGAGATAACCAAAAAAAAGCACACAAACACACCAACACACACAGAAAAACATAATCAAAGTGGCATCAACTGAAATGCATTGATTTGCATTTTTAAAGATTGAAACCAGTATGCACATTCAAGTTTGGTACCTTGATTTATGTTAAGACGGCGCAGTGGTCTCGCTGGTTCCAGATTTCTGATGATCCTTTTTGAGACATCCATTTTTCTGCTTAAGGACAAACATTTCAACATATTATTGTTTTCACCTATTATTGTGAACATATTGTCAACATGTTATTGTTTTCACATTTCAACATTTAATTTTCACCTATTTAATTTTCTTGACAAGTTACAGGGCTATACCTGGCTCTATATAGAATGATGCGATCCACTATAGAATCAGCCACAGATTTTTATTTGATTCTAATTAAATTATTCCATGTCTAAAAGCCATAAACTGCTCAATTCTGAGTACAAGTGGAAAAAACTATGACCTAATATCAGAACATCATGATATTCTGTTCATGCCATTATGAAGTCAGGTACATCTGTTAACATTTGTCATTTGGATTACATGCATTGGTGGATTATATTAACATCAATTTTTCAAGAAGCCATATTTTAGTTTAGGTAAATAGGCTATTGGTTATTTATAGCTCAGCAACAGGTATTTCTGGGCCTCTTATTACAGTTAAACTGGATGGTGTACAATATTATCCGGTTTTACACTAACATCAGACAAATAAACTGTCCAGTACATTACATGAGAGGCAGATGGTCACCAATCTAAGGCAGGTGATGCACTCAGAACTGTTCTTCTTATATTTAGTAACATAACGGGGGAAAAATGGAAAAGATGACAGATATTGGCAGCTTCCCTGAAGCACATCACCACGCACAACCCACATCAATCTCAGTTCAGTTTGGCTAATATCTCACACGACGAATGAGTCAGGTAAATATACTTTGTGAAAACCATCAAACATGTCCTGTTGAACTGTAAAAACAAAGAATGGCAACATACCAATGTTAAATACGTCTAAAATATTGAAAAGAAAGGTGGCGTGAACTTCTGACTCAATCGGCATCAACGGTGCTAGCTGCTAGCCACGAACCACGACGACTGCGAACTTTTCCCTTGATAATCCAGTTTTGTTTTTTTTTACCACATAACATCTTCACGAGAGACAAAAATTTAACTCCGAATTATGTCACAACACAATTAGCCCAAAATAAACGCATAATTATAATAATGGCAACTTACACGTTCTCTGATAAAGCATCCAGCTTCCGTCACCGCGCTGTCTGTCATTTCCAACACATTCATTCAGTCTGAGCTCGTGACTCTCTTCATCCCTGCGTTCATTATTATGACTGTGGATGAACTCACCCATTCTCACATACACACAAAACGATATCTAACATATACTTTTCCACATCTTTCATTGTTAGCTAGTGTTTGAGTTTGCTAGTATAAAAGTTTGGTTTCTTTGTAATTCTTTTTTTTTTTATCTCTCTCTTAAAACAGGTCAGATATCTCAGTCATTCTTGAAACGTTGGACAAAACAGGTCCAGCAATGGTAACTGCTATTAGCTTTAAAACAGCATCAACAGAAAAAAATAAAATGGCTACTACATGAACTCCATTGGTTTTGTGAAAGAAATGCCAAATATGTCAACACCGCCAAATGTCACCACCATAAGATTTTGTGTTCCAGTGATATATCAAAACACTTAAATGTGACTCTTGAATAAATGATATTACACAGTCCAAGGTAAAAAAGCACATTTTGTTAAAAAAGAGAAAAGTTGGGAGGTTGTATCAAAGCATAGCTCAGTAGCTTAGTACATATAAGATACATTAATGTAGTTTCATTTGTCTGAGTACAAGGTCTTATTTTTTCAATTTTGCACCGTTTTGTCCCACTTCTCAAGAATGACTGATCTACTAGAGCCAACATTATGATATGCATATAAAAAATGTTCTACAGAATTAAGTCCTGGGGTATGAATCTTCAGAAAAAGGTTTTAGTTAAGATTCTGTCATTAGATTTATATAAGTATTCACTAAGCATGGGCTCTTTGTGCTATTTAAATTCTCATAAAGGTATTCTTTGCTGAAATAATACCTGATCACCTTGTGAACTGTGTGAATGGTGTGTTGTTGTTCATAACAAAGGCACTAAACTTCTTTAAGCCCTTCTAAAAAAAAAAGATTTTAGTTGGTCATCCAGCCTGGACATAGCTGGTCAGCAGGCTGGTTTTAGAGGGGTTCTGACCACTTCTTTAGCTGGTCAGGCTGGGAGACCAGTTTAAACCAGCTAAGACCAGTTTAGGCTAGTTTATTAAGTTAGAAGTCCAGGGATTTGACTACCACCTGCTAAACAAACTTTTCAAACTGGTTTTGATAAACAAACATTTATTGTTCCCCCTTTCTAACCTGCTGTGAACAACTCCTCACCCACACCTTAGCTTTGGGTTTACTTGACTACACAAACCTTTGCACTGGCCATTGTGACCCAAAAGCACGACCTCACTTACCAACCTGTTGTTTGTCACAGCACTCGCACATTCCTGACATTCTTCTGTCATTACCTGATTGTAAATCACATTGCTACAAAATAATGATGTGCATACTAACATATTCTTTGCATTAAATTATTAAATCTCCCATATCTCCTCTAGTGACATATTCTTTCTCAGTTGATTGCTTGATTGTTAAAAGCCGTTGTTGGTACGAGTGTATTTGACTGACTGCTGTTAATATAAATACGGTGGTTTACACTGTGGTCTGAATCACCTGGAAAGTGGTCCCAAGACAATGAGCTGCACATATAGCAGAACAGTCTGTAAAGCAAAAAAAGAAAAAGACCTGAATGCTGATAAACTATTTCACCTTCTTTATTGTTTGCAAACAGCTGGCTGTGGTTGACAAAATGGAATAAGCATCAACTACATAATGCATAAAAAATATGCATAATGTAAGTCATAAAAGCACGATTCAGTTGCTTAAGTTAGACAATTATTGCTTAATGCTGCGTTTAACATAGGCCTAGAGAACCCTGTATATTTGTTGTGGATTTTGAATGCATTATTATGGCATTTATATGTATATATATATATATATATATATATCACACAAAAGTCTTAGGACATTAGTATTTTCACCAAAAAAATAAAAATGTTTTTAAGCCAGTTATTTTTATATCTTTTGCCTTAGTGTGTCAGTAGGAAATATCAGATTGCATTTCCAAACATTCCTTTTACCATTAGTTGTAATAATCCAGAGATTTTTGTATGCACAAGGAGTTTGACAACAGCCAGTGCTCCACACAGAGATCTGATCTCACCCAGTCCGTCTGGGATTACATGAAAAAATCTGACTAAATACAGAACTGTCAATGTCTCCAAGATGCTTGAAGAAACCTTCCTAAAAAGCTACAGTACTGTGAAAAATTTTACGCACGTGTAAAAATGCTGTAAAGTGAGGATGCTTTCAAAAATTTCATAGATTTTATTTATCAATTAACTTCAATTAACTAAATCAAATCAACATTTGTTGCGCCCAACCTTTTTTGTTTAAAACAGCTTTTGTCCTAGGCAGTTGCACATAGTTTTTCAGGTAGCTTTGTAGGAAGGTTTCTTCAAGTGTTTTGTAGACGTTGCCACAGTTCTTCTGGCTTTAGTCTGTGTCAGTTTTTTCTGTTTCTTCATGTAATTCCTGGACAGACTGGATGATGGCGAGATCAGATCTCTGTGTGGAGCACTGGCTGTTGTCAGACTCCCTGTGCAAACAAAAATCTCACTGGATTATTACATAATTAATATAATTAATTATTACAATAAATGGCAAAAGGAATGTTTGGAAATGTAAACTGATATTTCCTACTGACACACTACAGCAAAAGATATAAATTGATATAAAGATATAAACTGACTTAAAACCATTATTATTTTTTTGGTGAAAATACTAATGGCCTAAGCCTTTTGCACCGTGACTGTACTGTGTAAAGAAATCAGAAGTAGCAGATGCATTTAATAGCATTAAACATGAATTGACATTTATCTGGATGCAGGAAGAAATGTACAATTCCACAATGTTAAGAAGATTATTTTAAATCTGATTTTATCTGAAAACAAAATATATTGTTGACAAATATGTTTAGTAAAATCTCAAATTGTAGTCATTACTCTGAGGGGAAAAACATTTAACAGCACAAGTAATACTGAGTCTAGATACTGTCACTAACGTGCATACAAATGCATCATTTTCGAATAATCAAGATATAAAGTATGAATCTAAATTAAAGCAGTATTTAATCTGCAGGTTTATGAAAAGCAAGCAAAAAAAAAAATCACTTGTTAAATCAGTGAAAAAAAAAGCACATAAAGCTTTAAAAAAGGGGAAAAAGTAGGAAAAACACCAGTTTCATCAACACTGTAGTCCAAAAGCATATCTACACAAGCAAAATCTGAATTTTCCTGGTGCCAATTGGTCGTCCATTTAATTCTTGAAGAGCAGTGAGCGCCTCTCTGTGGGTTTCGAATGCTACCGTTGCTGAACGTCTGGGAGCTCCATTTCTATCATACAGCAATGAGGCAGAACCTGGAATCACTCTGTATCCATAGAAGAAGTCATAAATCTCATCGATCTTTATCTGAGAGGGTAGATTGACCAATTTAAGACAAGTCGGACCGTCAAGTTGTTGGTCAGGTGATCCGTAACACTGACGTCCATTACCATCCGGTCCCGGCCCAAATGCATCATTGTGGCCAAAATTAGGCTCAAAGCGATCACGACCTCCATAACCCGGGCGCAAATTAGGCTGCATCTCACAATCATCTTGAGGCATCTGGGTGTTTGAAAAACAAGGACCATCTTTGTAAATTTCGGTTCTCTGAAAGTTCTTTTTGTGCGGGCTATCCATCAACTGGTCATTCACGCCAAACTTCTGCATCTGGCCCATCGTTATGCACTTAAGCATGACTTCGGATCCAAGAAACCTCTGTCCGTTTAGGGACTGTGCCGTCATGGCCTCCTTCTCAGATGGGAAGATCACCAAAGCCTCACCGAGCCCAGCTCCTCTTTCGTCCCGCAATAAGACAACCCTATCCTCTGACAGCGGAAATCCATGAAAGAAGTCCATGATCTCCACCTTACGAACATCAAATGGGAGATTGCGCACATAGAGACACCTCAACTGCGAGTCAGGATTGTTTCGTTGAGACTGGGCCGCTTCTGCGGAGCGTCTCAACCCTTTTCCCTCATCTCGCACGTCAACAGACGATTCCAACATGGTGACCATTTTCTCCTTGGAGATGGGCGACACGTACACTACCTTGTTCATCAACATTTGCTTATTATGAGCCAAGCCAGCACAATAGTCTGTGAGATTTCTAAACACCACAACAGCCGATTTGGTCCTATCATCCTTTTTTTGGGCAAAGATAATAATCTGATCATCTTTCAGAGAAACCGGATGAAGTAACACCCTCAAATCTCTCTTTTCAACCATGTAAGGCAAGTTCTCAAACATGACGCAGTATTCTTCATGAGAAGGCGATCGTGATCTTGACTTGTAGGAAATGGGAGATCGAGATCTCGCTCGATCTAAGGACGCTCTTTTCCGACTGTCCGGTCTAACAAGACCTCCTTCTGCCAGCCACTGCTCCTCGGAGCATCTTGTTAGTTGGATATACCGCGGTCCCATGTATTGTCGATCCTTCTTTAGACCTTCGACTGCATCCACTTTGGTAGCAAAGCGCACAATACTCTGGCCGTTGAACAATCCTCTGGGGTTTTTCAAAAACATAATGTCTTCAATCTGTAACCCACTGAAAAAGGTATAGACGTTGTCCTTTGTCGCAGAGAACGGCATCCCTGTCAATTTCAGGTAAAGTTCATCTCTCTCTGACACGCTCCCTTCTCTCTGGTGTCGTGTCTCACTGAACGAAGATAGAGGTGGCCTGTTCCTCATCTCTTGATGATCCGGCCTTCGTATATCTGCTCTCTGTTCCTTACTGAATGGCAGAGGACCTCGTTCCGCAGAAGGACTTTTGACAACCTCCTTGTACATGCCCCTGTTTTTTAACTCGGGCTTTCTAGTGCTTTCCTCAAGAACACTCTGCATTTCTGACTTGCTACTCAGGAGCAAGCTGACAGGAGAGCCCTTAATGCAGCCTCCCGAGCGTGTCATCGCTCGTCTTGCATCTTCATCAGATGCAAATATTATAAAAGCTTCCTCAAGCTCCCCACCAATTATATGAACCCCACCATCAGGGATTCTGAGCCCAGTGAAGAAATTGCGAATGTCCTCAGAACCAGCCGTGATTCTGAGTCCCTGTAATCGGATGACCACAGCCATGATGGAGCACATACAACAGGACCTGCAGACAAAAGGGGCACATATAATAGCGTTATCGCTGACTCAACTGTTGCCTCCATATCACAATATTCAAATGAGATCCCAACTATCATTTTCAAACCAAGGTTAAACTGCAGAGCTAAGTGAAACAGACCTCTCACCACCAAAAAAATTAGCTAACAACAATAACAGCCAGTCTGGAGCAAATAATGTCTTCTGATCCATCAAAACAACTTTATTCCACAAGATTCGTATTAACAGGAAAGACTAGTTTTACAACCTTCAACATCATTCTTTCAGTTTCTGCATGCAAATTTGCAAGTAATATGAACTCCATTCACAATTAAAACTTATCAGCTGACCACACTATCAGAGAGAAAAAGATTATGCAGTTTCAAGAAATTACAGATATCGCTACTAGCATCCATACAGCTGAAAGACACTTACTGCATCTAACTGTAACATACTATGTACTTTTAAATCCTGTTTGTTACAGTTTTATATACAGTTTCCAATAGAAACTTATCAAATAGCCACTTGCAAACTGCACAGCCATCAAACCAAATAATAAAACAACAGTTCAACACACTGAACAACACACAATTCCACCTAACTTTAGTGCAAAATCTTAAATTACAAAAACTTTTAAATCAGTGGTTCTCAGAAAGGGGGCCTCAGCAAACTCATTGTAGCAAAAGGATCTAGATTACCATTATTATTGTTATTATTAATATTTTCATAAGTTATGTTTATGCCTTTTTTAGATACAGGAATACAGGAAAGAATAAGGAAGGAGAGCGGGGAACAAGACCGGCAAAGAAACACAAGCTGGGACTTCTAGACTTCTAAAATAGACAAAATTGGTCCTAGTTAACATTTTACTGAATTGTGTTTAATCATGGTTATGTCATTACAGCATAAGTACTTAAAATAAATACATTCTCTTGGACAATGTGGGGTCTTGGAGTAAAAAGGATGGGAACCACTGCTTTAAATTCAAACAATGTGACTCAGAAATAAAGTTTACCCTCGAGCAACCTTTCCATTTTACTTCAAATTAACACACACAAAACTCACAACACATTTACATCTGAATTGTCTAGAATTAAATAAACTATTTTCTGTAAACTTCTCTTGTAGAAAATAAATTCCCATGTAAGATAAAGTTTAAAAGAAAAATTATATATATTAAAAGTCTTGAAAAATTATCCAGTCTTGGGGGGGGAATTATTTCGACTGTCAAGTCCCAATGCCACGGAAACCATCCACTGGGAACACTAAACGAGGCGTATTTTCAATTGCAAAACACTTAGGAAACAACAGCAAAGAATCCTCCATCGACATTACAACGAAATATCCCATTTTGCTGCACTTTTTTATGTAACCAATACATGACTGAGCTCGCATTTCCACACAGAAACATTATCACACAAACTCAACATGCCTTCCGCTTTCTCATCGAGTCAAAGCATAATCCGTGCCACATGTATCACCCTTTTTATTTTATGCGGTTTTATCATAATACTGGCGACTAATACAAACTTGTTTTTAACATATACAACTCTGTAGAACCTTGCGTACATGCTATATGTGGTGAACCACGAGCTATTTGCTTTCTGAAGCAAAACTGCGCCAAATCAAACAGCTAACGTTAGCATTCACGAGCATCGTCGATTTCAGGCAAACCCACCAACCCAGCAGTTTTAATCAGCACAATGTACGCTGATACACAAATAACACACGCTACGTGACTTAAACACCACCGTCAATTCCGCAATAGCTGAAAGCAGAGTGCAGCTGTCTTCGGTAATATCGGCAATGCTAAAGCTGAGAGGCCCAAAATGTGACGCGCGCGATATTGATCAAACTTACACAAAACAAAGGAGATATCAATCCTTTCCGAATATAAAAGAATGAGAAATTAATGCCGCTCTGCGGTATCGTCTGTCCGATTCCCACCGTGACTAAGCAACAATTTCGCTGTCGTGATATCTGAAGCAAGGACGAATCGCAAGAAACTACAGCATCCGCATCTCCTCCACCGCCATCTGTAGAACTACGGAAACTCGGAGGCGCTGAAACGCAAAAGACACTCGAAACACACTATAACAGTCAATGGACAAAAATTTGTCTGACCAGTTTTGTACAGTTTCCTATGAATAAAGTATACAATTAAAAATAGGTATGAAATGTTTACAAAATACACTACTATCTCATACACTAATATCTTGATTTAATAGAACTAAATGTGTCACATGGATGGTGTAACCATCAAGTAAAATTGCTCAAATATACTCCATGTGACCTAAACAAAACTGAAGGTCAAAATATGTGATATTTTAAAAGAGTTATTGACCTTCACATATCTCTAATTTGGTTTTCTTGTCACATAACTAAATGGCTTCATCTTGGTTACATTACACTTTCTTTCAAAAAGTTTTTCAATGTAGATATAATTTTGAAACAAATTTGCTTCACTTTTTTTTTTTAAGAAATAATAATGAAACATTATGCCACATAAGTACTTAGGCCAGTATGTCTCTCTTGTTTTCCCCTAAGAATTTTAGCCTTTTATTGATATTCTTTATTTTAACTCTCTGGACAGTTACACAAGCTAGGAATTTTTGTCTATATTATTAACTATATATTTCACTAATTATTACTATATTTTAAATATTACATATTTTAAAAATCTGCTTTGACGTCAATGGAAATTCTCTTTTTAGTTTCATGTGTTTACAGTACAGTTTCCGTAGAAATGACTACTCAATAACTAGTATTATTTATTTATTTATTTATTTATGTGAATTTAAAAGGATTTGAGGGGAAAAAAAGAAAGAAGTAAACAGTAAAAACTTTAAATTATTGTAAAGTAAACAATTCAAACTATTTGCAAATAATATACAGCTATAATTTCTTCTCTTAACTATGATGGCACAAAATCTAATCTCAAAATATTTAATGACTTTTTTTTCCCATTTATTCTGAACACACACACACACACACACACACACATACACTTTAAAAAAAAAAAAGGGTCGTTACTCAAAAAAGATTATTTCTTAAAAGTTATTATTTCTCCACTACTGGCTCATTTATCAGACGGGTGCTTTCTCTTCGTCCTCCGCAAATTAAGCTACAGTAGGTAGTTCGGTAGAGAGACGTTTGAATAAATTAGCGTTTGCGATTGACAATGTTGTGATAAGTAGGCTATACTAACTTTGTAACTCGTTACCCCCAACACTGGACATAGCAGACGTATGTAGCCAAGTACGAAGATGTCCGTGGCAGAGACTCAAGAAGAGAACTCGAGCGAAATGTCCCAACCAAGCACCAGCGAGGAGGTTGGTAGCCAGGAAGACCAGCCAACCCTTATACATCCCTAGCTGTACCTGGAAGAATTTTTCGAAATGGTTGGATGCAAAAACAACTCCTTTCGAATACGCTGCAAGCTCTGCGCACCCAAGTACCACGAGCTAATGGCTTTCAAAAACTCGCCGTCTAATTTGAAAAAGCATATTGAGGTAAGCTGAAATTTTGTTATTATCAGTCGATTATTGACAAATTTGAAATTCAACTTTAGCCAAATGTTATCTGAGCTTATATTATTGCTATATGCAATATTTGTGAGTTAATTGTGCAAAGCTATAGTTTTTGTTATTATCAGTCGATTATTGACAATATTGTAGTGACCTAGTAACGTACTAATAATGGTAAATTTGCAATGTTTGTTATGGCTAGGTACATGCCAAGACATGCCATGGTTTGCTTGCTAAGCAGTAGGCTGATTCGTTGCAAACTCGTTTGGTGGGCTCTGTGTGAGATTTGAAATTCGACTTTAACCAAATGTTATCTGAGCTTATATTATTACTATATGCTATATTTGTAAGTTAATTGTGCAAAGCTATAGTCTACAGCTGATTGATAAAGCATGTACTAATATTATTTCTTAAAAGTTATTATTTCTCCACTACTGGCTCATTTATCAGACGGGTGCTTTCTCTTCGTCCTCCGCAAATTAAGCTACAGTAGGTAGTTCGGTAGAGAGACGTTTGAATAAATTAGCGTTTGCGATTGACAATGTTGTGATAAGTAGGCTATACTAACTTTGTAACTCGTTACCCCCAACACTGGACATAGCAGACGTATGTAGCCAAGTACGAAGATGTCCGTGGCAGAGACTCAAGAAGAGAACTCGAGCGAAATGTCCCAACCAAGCACCAGCGAGGAGGTTGGTAGCCAGGAAGACCAGCCAACCCTTATACATCCCTAGCTGTACCTGGAAGAATTTTTCGAAATGGTTGGATGCAAAAACAACTCCTTTCGAATACGCTGCAAGCTCTGCGCACCCAAGTACCACGAGCTAATGGCTTTCAAAAACTCGCCGTCTAATTTGAAAAAGCATATTGAGGTAAGCTGAAATTTTGTTATTATCAGTCGATTATTGACAAATTTGAAATTTGACTTTAGCCAAATGTTATCTGAGCTTATATTATTGCTATATGCAATATTTGTGAGTTAATTGTGCAAAGCTATAGTTTTTGTTATTATCAGTCGATTATTGACAATATTGTAGTGACCTAGTAACGTACTAATAATGGTAAATTTGCAATGTTTGCTATGGCTAGGTACATGCCAAGACATGCCATGGTTTGCTTGCTAAGCAGTAGGCTGATTCGTTGCAAACTCGTTTGGTGGGCTCTGTGTAAGATTTGAAATTCGAATTTAACCAAATGTTATCTGAGCTGATATTATTACTATATGCAATATTTGTAAGTTAATTGTGCAAAGCTATAGTCTACAGCTGGTTGATAAAGCATGTACTAAGGATAGTCATGATCCTGTCTGTGTATGAGAGTGCGCGCGCCTGTGTGGGGCAGGCCCTATGGGTCCTTGTAAAGAGGTAATAGGCCCAACTATCAACCAAATGCTGTTTAAAATGAATTTAATGCTACTTTTCAGTCATGCCAGCAGCTACTTGTGGTCCTAAAACAGCTTTAAGTGGCAATATTCTGGTCTGCTCAACATAATTGCATAGACCAGTGAAACTGCTCCCTAACTTGTAGTCTGACCTTCATTCATGAACTTCAAGCATGACATTAATACAGCGGAAGTCCTAGATAGTCTGAGCTTGTGGTTTGAGAGAAATAATATGAATCTCAATCTGTGCCTGTGCATTAATTTTCTCCACAGAAGAAACACCCCACTCATCTAGAGAGGTACACGCAACTTACTTCAGCAGCCCTCAAAAGGAAGTCATCCACTGAAGGTTCTTTGGCCCCACCCTCCAAACAAACCAAGCTGTGGGAGACTCGAAGAGTGTCCCAGGCAAGTGTGGATAAAGTAGTCCTCCAATTCGTTGTCCAAGGCTTGCACCCACCACACATTGTTCAGCAACAGGGCTTCATTGATCTTGTGCAACATCTTCAGCCAAATACAAATGTCATGACACGCAATACTGTTGTAAACAAAGTCACAAAGGCCTCTGTTGAAATGAAAAGAAAACTGAAGGCTGCCCTTAGTGAAATTGAGTTCATAGCAACAACAACAGACTGCTGGACGGCACACCGTTGCGGTTTCATTGGTGTCACTGCGCATTGGTTTAACAACCGAAATGTCCCAACCAAGCACCAGCGAGGAGGTTGGTAGCCAGGAAGACCAGCCAACCCTTATACATCCCTGGCCATCCCTGGAAGAATTTTTCGAAATGGTTGTATGCAAAAACAACTCCTTTCGAATGCGCTGCAAGCTCTGCGCACCCAAGTACCACGAGCTAATGGCTTTCAAAAACTCGCCGTCTAATTTGAAAAAGCATATTGAGGTAAGCTGAAATTTTGTTATTATCAGTCGATTATTGACACATTTGAAATTCGACTTCAGCCAAATGTTATCTGAGCTTACATTATTGCTATATGCAATATTTGTAAGTTAATTGTGCAAAGCTATAGTCTACAGCTGGTTGATAAAGCATGTACTAAGGATAGTCATGATCCTGTCTGTGTATGAGAGTGCGCGCGCCTGTGTGGGGCAGGCCCTATGGGTCCTTGTAAAGAGGTAATAGGCCCAACTACCAACTATCAGCCAAATGCTGTTTAAAATGAATTTAATGCTACTTTTCAGTCAAGCCAGCAGCTGCTTGTGGTCCTAAAACAGCTTTAAGTGGCAATATTCTGGTCTGCTCAACATAATTGCATAGACCAGTGAAACTGCTCCCTAACTTGTAGTCTGACCTTCATTCATGAACTTCAAGCATGACATTAATACAGAGGAAGTCCTAGATAGTCTGAGCTTGTGGTTTGAGAGAAATAATATGAATCTCAATATGTGCCTGTGCATTAATTTTCTCCACAGAAGAAACACCCCACTCGTCTAGAGAGGTACACGCAACTTACTTCAGCAGCCCTCAAAAGGAAGTCATCCACTGAAGGTTCTTTGGCCCCACCCTCCAAACAAACCAAGCTGTGGGAGACTCGAAGAGTGTCCCAGGCAAGTGTGGATAAAGTAGTCCTCCAATTCGTCATTAGCTATAGAATTGAGCATAGTACATACCAGGAAGGTATCAATCAGGATTATGAGTATTTTTTATTTTTTTGGATTAATCACTTGGATTAATCATTCATTTTGACAGCACTAATGTTTATTGTATATAGACAACCATACAAGGGTAATTGTTACTAAGCCTGCCCTGGGTACACCAATTTTCTTGTCCGTTGCCCTCACAGATTCCTGCAGCTAAGCTTGGATGTACATTTACATTCCAATAAAGGTTATTGATGACATGCCTCTGAAGTTTGACTTTTTGCACCATTACAATACTTATAGGCAACTAGTCATCATATCTTCCGCTCCATGAAACACGTTAATGCTCAGTAGTACACATATATGGTTCTTTAATGTATTTGCATTGTACTAAAATGCGTTCATTTTCAATGGGCATATATGCGGCTGAAACAGGTAGCCTAGTGCATCCCAAATTTTTCAACATTAACATTTTAATATAACATTATAGTCATTATGGCCTTTAGAAAAATGTTTTTTTGAGGAGGTGGGGTAGTGCACAATAGGC